ACACAGTTATTTATATTAAATGTTTACAGAAACGTATCAAAGTTATTTATATTTACAGAAGCACTATCAAAGTTATTTATATTTACATGTTTACAGAAACGTATCAAAGTTATTTATTTACAGACACATTATTACAATTGTTTACAATCAACATATTTACATTACATTATCTACAAATAAATTCAAATGGATCCATTCCCTACAGCAAGTGTCTTGTCTAGTCTTTAATCCTTTGCCCATGCTTTTACCAAGGGGCCATTCTGGTAGTTCACAAGGAGGCAAGCAACAGTGTATAGCTGGTTGATGCTCCCTGTGATGGAAAGAGGGATGACTGTATCAAACAGCTGGTGTTGTTTCACCCTGCGGTGAGATGCTGAACATGGACCCTCAGTCGAGCAATGGATTGAGTTTCCTTTACCTCATCAGCCGACATCTGTTCCCTTTTCGACAGGTAAGCAGGTCTGTAGACTTTGCATGGCACAGAGTCGTCCACAAGAAAACCTTTGCCGACCATAATAGCCATGTCAGGTTTCAGCAGAGACACAATATTATAATTCGACTCACGGTGGACTGATGAATATCAAATCTGTGAGCCAGATCCCTTTGTGTCAGACCAACTGAAAGATGGACCATGAAGAGAAAAAACTCCTCTATGGGCTGCAGGCATTGACCCTGTTAAAACAAAATTTTAAAAACTTTTTACACGTGTGTTTATACAGAGAAAGTAGCATTTGTACCATTTAAATTTTGTTTTCTTCCACATCCCCCCACACATTCATAACACAATGTATATTGTATGTACTGTATAATATACAAAATTAGAAAGGAATGATAAATGAAAACATATTTACAGATACATGGGCTGATGCTCCACCTTCACTCCTAGTTTGCTCTGGTCACACGTACCATATGTTGTGGGATGCAGGTTCAAGGAGTCTCCAAGTGATTGTAAGTCACAAACCTACATAAGACGCGGGACATGTTTGAGATAATATACATCACAAAATGACCAACAGTTTTAGCTTACTTTTAGACTGTATTGTAGCTTACTTGTATAGTATACGGGTTTACTGACGTGTAAATAAAATATCTACATGGACAGAAAATCAGTTTTTGGTTGATAATACAGCATCTTAATAATGATACAATATAATATAATTTACAAGTTTTAAATCTGACCTAGTGTAGGACCGTATGTCACCGTCTGATGCAGCAAATCTGCCCAAGCTAAACCTCTAACAGTTCTTCCACCGGTTTCCTCAGGTGTTCCTCTTCCTCTCGGAGATCTGCAGTCTGATCTAAAGAAAGCTCGACAGGAACGGGAAATGAACAATAGTCATGCTCCTGATGCTGGAGGTCCACAGTAGGCACAGGATCTTCGTAGTGACGACCGCAGACTCTTGTGTTAGGAGTGTTGTTAAAATCCTTTTTTCATTTTTTACGTTTCCTTGTCCAAAGGGAAAGTATGGAAACTAACCACAGAATTACACCTTGAGGATGTGTCACATAATGCGACACAGCAATACATAGACGTTGCACCTTCACGCCGAAGGCACTTGAACTCATTAATAAAACGTTATATTTTAATATAGTACACTAAAATGTTATGTTACTACAGTTAATAAAATATATAATATAAAATAATGATTTGTAATCGCTAGATTTAACGGAAAGACCACGCTATTGCCACAGCTTCCTATCGGAGAACGCTTCTTTTTGTAATGAGTATGAGGAAACTGCCTTGCTCTTATTTTGGTATACTCGGTTACACTATGGTGCAAGGTCCAAACATTTATTAGCGAAAATATTCAGAGTTTAAGACCTTCTTCACTCCTATGGGAAAATATACTCTTTGGTTTTACTGACTATCCTGACCAAGAGGTTTTGTTGACTGAAATATTGTAATTTGTCCTTCAATCTTTTTCTTTTCTTAGTTTAATGTTGTTTTCTTGAGTACTCTTTGGCTTTACTGACTATCCTGACCAAGAGGTTTTGTTGACTGAAATATTGTAATTTGTCCTTCAATCTTTTTCTTTTCTTAGTTTAATGTTGTTTTCTTGATAACATATTGTGTGTTATTGTTCCTTGAATAAAATTAAAAAAAGAACACTTCTTCTTTTAATTTTATTGGCGGTTAACCAACTTAAAGGTGCATTTACCGCCACCTACTGGACTGGAGTGTGGGCAGTACTTTGTAAGAAAGGACAAGGAGAGAAAAATTATATATATATATATAGAGAGAGAGAGAGAGAGAGAGAGAGATCCCCCCCCCCACTATATATTTCTATTAAATTCTTTCACTTATCCCAGTATTTTTCAAATAATTAATTAGGAGACTATTTCCCTAGACATTGTTTTTCCTAGCAGATTTCCCACTGTCAGGTTTTGTTTTCCAGCTTGTGTTTCTAACTCCCTTCTTTCTTCTTCATACCTTTTACAATCTGTTTGTTTTCTGTTACACAGGTGTTTTCTCTGTAATGTAAACGGAGAACGCTAAACCGGAAGCTCGCGTACAACTGAGATTTTAGCGGAAATACGTAGCCGGTGGGCCAGTCATACGAGTCCATTAAATTATTGTGTTTTGGTAGTGACAAATTGGGGAGAGGACAAATATTTCAAAACTTTCGGAAAATACAATATGAGAATTAACTGCACAATTACAATAAATGTGTACCTTGGACATTATACAATTTGCATACATGCAAATAAAAAATAAAATAAAAAAAACAAGTCCTGTAACTCATAGTAACTGTGTGGAATAACTGATCACATGGAAGCCCGTTTCCACCACTGAATAAAAAACTAAACAAGTAACTCCATCTTATTCCTCGTAATTGTGTTATCTCCCAATTCTTATACAAGCAATTGTGCGTTATGCAGGAATATAAACGTTTTTCTGACAAACAAAAAAAGTCATAAATGCAAGATATAGTCAGAAATGCAAGAAGAAAAAAAAGGTAATTTTATATCCCGTACTGATGAGCCACTGATTTATCAGAAAAATAACACACACCGGAGGTGGTGATGCAAGCATGTGCACATTTTATGATTATTTTGTAGAACAAGTCAAATAGATCACATCACAGTCTACTTTTCAAACCTGTATAATGAAATTTTAGAAATATAGTTTCCTTCAATCATAATATCCTCGTTTAGTGTAACTGGTTTGTGCCAGAGAAGTGAGTCGCAGGGGTCTGGAACCACACGAGAGCGAGTGAACTCATGTCTGCATGTGAAGCATGTGTGTGTTAATGGAGAGTTAATTTTCCAGTAAAGCCACTGCAGAGCGTAATGATAATCACCCAACATCTCGTGTGAGGCTCGTGAGCTCAGCCGGTGCATCAGATCATCACCGTGTGTTTATACGCAACAATCAGGAGACAGACGGACACTTTGTCAAAGCATGGCTTTATTGTGGATGGTGTAAAGTCCTTCTGGAGACTCTCTGGGGTCTTTCCTCATCTATTTGGACGCCTCCTTCCTGGCGATGGTCTTCCTCCCCTTCTTGTTGTGTTTCTTGGCGAAGCGCATGTTCCTCAGGAACTTAGGGTCCACCTGAAACACAACACGCGTGTTAAACTCACACCACAGCAGGACCAGAGCCACTGAGAACCATTACAAACGCCATCATACTAGGGGTGTGCGATATTGACAAAATTATATCTCGATATTTTCTGGGATTTTATCGATGACGATAATTAGACGATATTTTGCCGAGTGTGTTATTGTGCTGGTACCTTAAGGACTGCCGAAGACAGCTGACTCCTAATGTTTTTAATATTCTTCATATTCTGTGTGGTGGTCAGTTCATACTGATAGAAATTAATATTTTCCAATAAGTTTAAACTGATTTTTACCTTTTATGGGCATTTTTACCTTTATAAAGCCATTTTTTCTAAAAGTGTTTCTTTCACTTATCCCAGTATTTTTCAAATAATTAATTAGGAGACTATTTCCCTAGACATTGTTTTTCCTAGCAGATTTCCCACTGTCAGGTTTTGTTTTCCAGCTTGTGTTTCTAACTCCCTTCTTTCTTCTTCATACCTTTTACAATCTGTTTGTTTTCTGTTACACAGGTGTTTTCTCTGTAATGTAAACGGAGAACGCTAAACCGGAAGCTCGCGTACAACTGAGATTTTAGCGGAAATACGTAGCCGGTGGGCCAGTCATACGAGTCCATTAAATTATTGTGTTTTGGTAGTGACAAATTGGGGAGAGGACAAATATTTCAAAACTTTCGGAAAATACAATATGAGAATTAACTTTACAATTACAATAAATGTGTACCTTGGACATTATACAATTTGCATACATGCAAATAAAAAAAAAAATAAAAAAAACAAGTCCTGTAACTCATAGTAACTGTGTGGAATAACTGATCACATGGAATCCCATTTCCACCACTGAATAAAAAACTAAACAAGTAACTCCATCTTATTCCTCGTAATTGTGTTATCTCCCAATTCTTATACAAGCAATTGTGCGTTATGCAGGAATATAAACGTTTTTCTGACAAACAAAAAAAGTCATAAATGCAAGATATAGTCAGAAATGCAAGAAGAAAAAAAAGGTAATTTTATATCCCGTACTGATGAGCCACTGATTTATCAGAAAAATAACACACACCGGAGGTGGTGATGCAAGCATGTGCACATTTTATGATTATTTTGTAGAACAAGTCAAATAGATCACATCACAGTCTACTTTTCAAACCTGTATAATGAAATTTTAGAAATATAGTTTCCTTCAATCATAATATCCTCGTTTAGTGTAACTGGTTTGTGCCAGAGAAGTGAGTCGCAGGGGTCTGGAACCACACGAGAGCGAGTGAACTCATGTCTGCATGTGAAGCATGTGTGTGTTAATGGAGAGTTAATTTTCCAGTAAAGCCACTGCAGAGCGTAATGATAATCACCCAACATCTCGTGTGAGGCTCGTGAGCTCAGCCGGTGCATCAGATCATCACCGTGTGTTTATACGCAACAATCAGGAGACAGACGGACACTTTGTCAAAGCATGGCTTTATTGTGGATGGTGTAAAGTCCTTCTGGAGACTCTCTGGGGTCTTTCCTCATCTATTTGGACGCCTCCTTCCTGGCGATGGTCTTCCTCCCCTTCTTGTTGTGTTTCTTGGCGAAGCGCATGTTCCTCAGGAACTTAGGGTCCACCTGAAACACAACACGCGTGTTAAACTCACACCACAGCAGGACCAGAGCCACTGAGAACCATTACAAACGCCATCATACTAGGGGTGTGCGATATTGACAAAATTATATCTCGATATTTTCTGGGATTTTATCGATGACGATAATTAGACGATATTTTGCCGAGTGTGTTATTGTGCTGGTACCTTAAGGACTGCCGAAGACAGCTGACTCCTAATGTTTTTAATATTCTTCATATTCTGTGTGGTGGTCAGTTCATACTGATAGAAATGAATCTTTTCCAATAAGTTTAAACTGATTTTTGCATTTTATGGGCATTTTTACCTGTATAAAGCCATTTTTTCTAAAAGTGTCCATTATCTTTTGAGTCAAATTCTTACATTTAATCAGGGAATTAGAATAATAAGACATTTGGGCTGTTACCAAGCAAATGAAATCAACACAGAAGCTGCATCTGAAGTGGCATTTAGATGTATTTACACACATGTATTTTGTTTAATGCAAGACATGAATGCATTTAACCTGCAATTACAAATGCATAAATAATGTTTTGATATATTAAACATAAAACGTTGAATACTGATATTTGAAATGATTTAAAACATGAAAAAAAAA